CTTTAGTATAAACTGTTCAGTCGCTTCTCTATTTTAGTATTGTGGTTTAGAAGTTTGAGAGAGTATTTTTTATTTAACATCCTCAACTTGGTAATTGATTGAAAAACTCTGGAATTTAATGGGAAACATCAGTGAGCAGTTTCATTCATCTCAGTTCCTGACTCAGATAACAGGAATCTCCACATGACACAGTTGAATAGGAATGATTAGCCTTGCCAGGATTGCAGTAACTTCTAGCTATGACAAGAGAGAGACTGTCTTTATAACACAGCATTGCGAGAAAACAGAATTTGCATTTTCATCTATTCATTTTGAGGCCCCATTCAAAGCTGCTCGCCACTTACTTTTACAACTTTACAGTCATTCACAAAGCTTGGCAGGAACATAGAAACAATTCCTGCTGCCGTGTGTATGTTGGGGTGAGATGTGCATGAAAGAGAGAGAGGGTGCTATGTGAGCGGGTGCTGAGAAAGAGAGAGTAGACAGGGTCATACAGAAACAGACCCTTCGGTCCAACTAGTCCACACCACCATGTCCCCAAACTCAACTAGTCCCACTTCCCTGCATTTGGCCCATATCCCTCCAAACCTTTCCTATTCATGTACTTATCCAAATATCTTTTAAAATGTTCTAACTGTAACTGCATCCACTACTTCCTCTGGCAGTTCATTCCACACACTAACTACTCTGTGTAAAAATGTTGCTCCTCACGTCCTTTTTAAAATCTTTTTCCTCTTATCTTAAAATATGCCCCCGAATTTTGAACTCCCGCCACCTTAGGGAAAAGGCCTTTGCTATTCACCTTATCTACGCCCCTCATGATTTTATAAACCTCTATAAGTCACCCCTCAACCTCCTATGCTCCAGTGAAAAAAGCCCCAGCCTATTTTAAGAACTCAAATCCTCCATTCCAGGCAACATCCTGGTAAATACTTTCTGAACCCTCTCCTGTTTAATAATATCCTTCATATAACAGGGCGACCAGAACTGCGCACAGTACTCCAGAAGAGGCCTCACCAACCTTCTATATGATCGCAACATGACGTTCCAACTCCTATACTCAAAGGTATGAGCAATGAAGGCATGTGTGCTAAATGTCTTCTTAACCACCCTGTCCACCTGTGATGCAAATTTCAAAGAATTATGTACCTGATCTCCTAGGTGTCTGTGTTCTACAACACTGCCCAGGACCGTACATGAATGTATAAGTCCTACCCTTGTTTGTTTTAGCAAAATGCAATGCATCACATTTATCCAAATTGAACTCTATCTGCCACTCCTCAAGCCCATTGATCCAATTGATTAAGATCTCTTTGTAATATTAGATAACCTTCTTCACTGTCCACTATACCACTAGTTTTGGTGTCATCCACAAATTTACTAACCACACCTTCTTTATTCTCATCTAAATCGTTTACCCACCGATGTCAGACTCACAGGTTTGTAGTTTCCAGGCTTCTCCTTACAGCCTTTCTTAAATAAAGGCACATTAGCTACCCTCCAGTACTCCGGCACCTCACTAGTGGTTATAAATAATACAAATATTTCTGCTCGGGGCCCTCACTTCCTGTCTAAACTTCCCGCAATGTCCTGGAATATACTAGATCGGGTCCTGGAGATTTATCCAACTTGAAGTTTGCTGAGACCTCCAGCACTTACTCTGCTGTAATGTGAAGCATTTTCCAAACATTAATATTTATTTCCCCAAGTTCTCTAGCCACCATTTCTTTCTCCACAGTAAAAACAGATGTGAAATATTCATTTCATATCTCTCCCATCTCCTGAGGTTCAACACAAAGACAACTGTTGATTTTTAAGGGGGCCGACTCTCTCTAGTTGCTGTTTTGCTCCTTGTGTACTTGTAGAATCTCTTTGGATTCTCCTCAACCTTATCTGCCAAAGCTCTCTCATATCCCCTCTTTGCTTTCCTGATTTCCCTCTTAAGAACACATCTACACCCTTTATACTCTTCAAGAGATTTATTTGATCCCAGTTGTCTATATCTAATATGAATCTTTTTTATTCTTGACTAGAATCTCAATATCTTTATTCATTTGTTGTCCCTAACCTTACCAGCCTTACCTTGCACTCACAGGAACTGAATGCCTCTGAAATCTTGTTATCATACTTTTGAAAGCCTCTCACTTGTCAGTCATCCCTTTAACTGCAAAAATAGTCTACTCCAATCAACTTTTGAAAGTTGTTGTCTCACACCATTAAAATTTGCCTGACTCCAATTGAAAACTATAACTTTAGTCGGGGCCTTATCCTTTTCCATAACTATTTTAAAACTAATAGAACTATGATCACTAGTCCCAAAGTGTTCCCCTTCTAACACTTAAGTCACTTGTCCTGCCTTATTTCCCAAGAGAAGGTCAAGTTTTGCTCCTTCTCCAGAAGGAACATTTACAAATTGATAAATGTGTTCAAGAAAATTTTCTTTAACAAATTCCTCACCATCCAAACCCTTAACACTATGGCAGTCCCAGTCAAAGTTTGGAAAATTAAAATCCCCTATTATTACAACCCTGTTTTTCCTTACATATATCTGTGATCTCTCTTCATATTTGCTCCTCAATTTCCCTCTGACTACTGAGGGAGCCTACAGTACAATCCCATTAAGTTGATCATCCCTTTCTTATTTCTAATTTCTACTCATATTTTCACTATTCCTCAGAAATAGCCTCTCTAATTACAGTAGAAATGTTTTTCTTAATCAAAAACACCCCTCCCCCACCTCATGTCTTCCTTTCTATCCTTCCTATAGCATCTCAAACACAGAACACTGAGCTGCCAGTCCTGTCCTACCCTCAGCCATGCTTCTGTAGTAGTTATAACAACCCAGTCCCATGTTCCGATACATGCCCTGAGTGCATTAGCCTTACTGGTAAGACCTCTTGTATGGAAATAAATGCAGTTTGATTCTTCAGAACTAGCCTCATCTTTCTATTTTCTTGCTAGTAAGGAACCCACCACCTAATAGTTTACAGGCTCCCAATACAGAACTAGCAAATCTCCCCGCCAGGATATTGGTCCCCTTGCAGTTCAGCTGAAACCCATCCTTTTTGGACATGTCTTTTCTACCCCTGAAGACATCCCAACGATCCAAGAATCTGAATCCCTACATGTTGTGTCAGTTCTTCAGCCACTGATTTATCACCTCAACCCTATTTTTCCTTCCCTAATTAGACTTTAGCATCGGAGATAACCCAGGAGATTACTTCTTTTGAAGTTCTGTTTTTTAACCTTCTACCTAACCTCTTATATTCATTCTGCATAGCCTTTCCTTAATTATGTCGTTCCTACCAATGTTTGCAACTTCCAGATTCTCACTCTCCCCTTTGACAATATGCTTCAACCGCTCATGCTCATGCTCATTGCTGTAGAACATCCTGTCTGTGCCTCTGACAGGAAAGTCCCCCATAACAATTATTCTTTTAAATGTTGACAAACCCCATTTAACATAATATTCATTCTTAGTGCCCAAGATCTGACTGCCACTTCTATCTTCCTCTGACAGACTATCCCCCTCAACAGTACCCAAAATGGAATATCTGTTTGAAAAAGAAATAACCACAGGAGACTTCTGAGCTACCTTCTTATTTTTCCTGACAGTCACCCATCTATCTGACCGATCCTGCTGTATAATCACTTCTCTAAATCTACAGACATCACACCCTGTGTCTCTTGAATGCCCTCAGTGACATTAATCCTAAAAAGCAGCTCTCAATAGCACTGTATAGATAAAAATAAATTCGTTTGCCTGACCCATAGATTTTAATGTTAACCATGCAAAATATTTTAAAAATTAAGCATATAAATCTTAACATAAAATCAAGCACTGAGCCAAAACAATTGAAAAAATGCCTCAAGTCCTCCAACTGTAGGAAAAGTGGATAGGGAATGAACTTTTAAAGAGGTGAATGTAGTGCCAATCAAGTGGGCTGTTTTGCCCTGGATGGCGTCAAGTTTCTTGAATGTTGTTGGAGCTACACCCATCCAAGCAAGTGGGGAGCATTCCATCACAGTCCTCACTTGGGACAGGCTTTGGGGAGTCAGGAGGCAAATTAGTCACTACAGAATTCCCAGCCTTTAACCTGCTTGTCCCTAGTCTATTTATATGGCTTTGTCCAGTTAAGTTTTCGTCAGTGATAACTCCAAAAATGTTGATGGTGACAGAAAAATATATCTTCTTGCTTTCTCTGATCTTCATAGTTAGTTGAAATTATCACTTTTAATCCGAGCCAAAAGACTTTGTGTATGCTGTTACTGTCATCCAGAGAGATCAGGAATACAGTGATAATCCACGCTATTTAATAGAAATCACAATCCTTCCTGTTGACACCCACTGCCCTATTGTGCATATGGCCAAGTTTCAGTTCACAGCAAACATGACTGTACATTGAGCAAAGTAAAAACGTGTCCAGAGAGACTGGTATCAAGACAAAATCAACATGGATCATAACAGACTAGAATGAGAGTTGGAAGATAGGAATAAAGCCAGAGCACCCTTATCTCCAAACGTAGCCACTGTGGGAAGCTCACAAATCAACAAGTGAGAGCGCCATTGGGGAAACCCAACACCATAATCTATCTGGCCGTAAGGTAGTGGTTGCTTTGTATAAAAGGAAAAAAAATGAAAATATGTTTCTCTTAAGTTTGTAAACTAGGGAGTGTTTTAAACAAAAAGGGTACTATATCTAAACTGTTCTCCTTTTAAATAACTCTTTGTTCCATTCAGTGGTGCAATCTGTGACATCTTCCTATTACTTGGTGATACATGCATTATACAGGTGTTTCAAATCTAGGAGGGGAAATTGCAATCATTTGAAGATCTCTTTTTCTAACAAAGACCAAAGACCAGATAGGAAGCCAAGCCAACACAAGGGAAGCTGGCAGTGAAATGAGGCAAGAATATCTAAAGACAAGTAGACACAACTTAGACTTAGCATGGCGCTTATCTTGTATCATACCCCACACACATTCCCCCCCTACACCACCTGCTTGTGTTGATTTCCGCCTGGCTTTCTTGATATCTTCCTCTGTTTTGTAAGTGGATTTATTCTCCAGTTGTTGAGTTTTGAATTCCAGATCCTTTTGCCTCTCCGCCAAAGCTTTTCGAGCCTGTAGAAAGGGTAAAACCAGTCAACATAGATCTAAAGAGAAGTCAGTCTCTCCTTGTTGAGAGACACCTGAACAGCAACAGTTTACATTTATACAACGCCTGACACAACCAAACCCACAAAGTATAGCATGGACAGTGAGCACTAAACAAGGTGGTGACCCAAGGTACAATTCAACAAGTTACATTTTGAGGGAACGTCTTTTAAAAAAAAAGTATAGAAGGGAGGTCCAGAATGCAGCTGCATAGCAACTGAAACTGTCATTGGCAATAGTAAATTGGTTGATGGGGACACAATAACGGGACTACAAGCATAATGAGAGAGTTGAGAGGCTGTACTCCACTTGAATAGATGAGACAACAAAGCAACAAATACATTGATCAGCAAATTCTACGTATTAAAAATATCGGCTTCTCCTTCAATAGAAGACTCAATCTTTTCAAATGGCAGTGATCATTAAGTGCATTTTAAAGACTTGCCATTACTTACACTAACAGAACAAGTTAATTTGTATATGACTGAAGATTTAACTAATGATTAGCAAGTGTAATAGAACATTGAAGAGCCAACACACTGAGTGAGTTAAAAGTTCAGTGCCTCCATGCTATTGAGCTCAATTGTGCTGCTGTTAGGAGGTAACAGGTGACTTTCATGTGTTTTTCAAAGGTCAGTTTCAATGACACTTGCAGAGATGTTACAGCAAATCAGTAAGCCATGGTTGTGTTCAAAAGTTACATTTGTGACACACAAGTGCCATGTAATGATCATTTCCATCAAGAACGAATTTAACCATTTCCTCTTGAAATGCAACATCATCACCACTGCACAAGAACTTTCCAGAGGTTACCAATGACCAGAAACTGAACTGGACCAGCCATATAAATACTGAGGCTTCAAGAACAGAGGAGAGGCTCAAAATTCTATAGCAAATAACTTGTCCCCTGTCATCCCAACTTTTCCACCATCCACAAAGCACAGAACAGAATCGTGATGGAATACTCCCCACTTGCCTGGATGAGTGCAGCTCCAACTCTTAAGTTCCACTCCTTCCAGGACAAAATAGCCCATATGATTGGCACGCCATCTGCCCCCTTCAACATTCACTCCCTTCCACTGAGGCACAGTGGCAGCAATGCGCATCATCTACAATATGCACTGCAGTAACTTGCCAAAGCTCCTTGGACAGTACCTTCCAAAGCCATAACCTCTACCATCAAGAAGGACAGGGGCAGTAGAGACATGGGAACACCAGCCTATTCAAGTTCCCTCTAAATCACACAACACCCTAACTGGCACATATATCACTGGTCTTTCATTGTCCCTGGGTCAAAATCCTAAAACTCCCTTGCTAACAGCACTGTGGGTAGCCCTACAGCACAAGTGACTACAGAATTCAAGAAAGTAACTTCATGGCAATTAGGGATGGGCAATAAATGTTGGCCTGACCAATGACACCCACATCCTGTGAATAAATAAAATATTTGAACCCCGGCGGAGAACAGGAAACTGCACACGGTGCAGAGTGTCACTAGGGAGAGTTGCAGGTCTGTTACCTGAGTGGGGATGGAGGCAAATTTTTTTAAATGCATGAACTCTCCTGTCGACCCTAACTCCATACTCTGGTAAATATGGCAGAGTGGGCCTTGTTGCTGATTACTGTTACATCAAACCTTTCAAAAATCATAAACCATAAGAAAGAGGAACCTTGACCCTCCTCCACCATTCAATAGGATCATGGCTGATCTGACATTCCTCACATCCACTGTACTGCTTTTTCCCGGTAACCTTGGATTCCCATACTAATCAACAATCAATCAATCTATAAAATCCAAGAGCCTAATTTTAATTATTTTGGCCTTTGAATGGCTCCAAGGGTCTTGAGACCACCTTAATTATACAACATGGGTTATAGCACACTTCCATTCTTGTATTTCCGGTCTGTCATACTGGTGGAGACAACTCATCATCTGAGGAGGAGCCAAATTTCCAGCCTTCACATTTCAGGGCCCTTAAATTTTTAAATTAAGAAAATTCTATTGCCAGCAATAACCACTGTTCAAATGAACTTCACGTGTTCTGCATTTAGCAGCTGGTGAGCCAAAGCAGTGATCCATACAAGGTAACAAGGCTTTGTTTTGCTCCTATCCTTGGCTGGGAGGGTGCTGGTTGGTGTTGCCTCTCTGTTATGAGCAACTAAGTATTGACTGGGTCTCTCTCATCCCCCAGGCACCAACTTACGGAGCTGTCTGGTGAAAAGACAGCGAGACTGCTCGCATCGTGGTCACTCCTTGCAGTGGTTACAAACGCCTGAAAGAGGAAGAGTGGAATCTCCCCTGAATGATTAAAGCCAATCTGGCTATCCCAGTGGTGAAGTGATTGCCACTTTTGTGCAGTCTGCAACAACCTGGATCAGTGAGAGCTCCCAGAGAGGAGTATAACACTTGGCATGACTGGCTGCAGCTATGGCAATATTAATCCAGTGGTAAACAGAACATCAGTGACCTGGATTGTGAAATGCTGCAATGTCAACAGCACTGGCCCAAATGAACGACATAGAACTGGGGTCTTAGGTGTTCCTCCAAGTGTGCCTGTCACCAATTCATAGAATCCTTACATCGCAGATAGAGGCCATTCAGCCCATCAAGTCTGCACTGACCCTCTGAAAAGCATCCCATTGAGATCCACACACCCCACCCTATTCCCATTATCCTCCAATTACCATGGCCAATCCACCTAGGTAGCACAACCCTGGACACTACGGACAATTTAGCACGGCCAGTCCACCTAACCTGCACATCTTTGGACTGCGGGAGGAAATTGGAGCACCCGAAGGAAGCCAACACAGATACAGGGAAAAACGTGCAAACTTCACACAATCACCCACAGCTGGAATTGAAACAGGGTCCCTGGTGCTGTGACGCAGCAAGTGCTAACCACTGAGCTACGTGGTGTCCATAATTCCCAGAGTCACAACCTCTGGAGGCAGTTTCTTCAAGCCATTCAGAAAGTTGACTCTGGACTCTTGCCCCAGTTACTGTGCTTTAAGTGGCACTCTTTGATCCATCAAGCAGCATGGGACTGCGGAGAATGAGAAAGCTGCTGCTTCTTTTTCCAGTTGCTTGCTCTGTTGCGGAGGCACCTGACCTGGTGGCTGCTGAATCTCCTCCTCTTCCAAGGGTCCAGCCATCTCCCAGTCAGTGAATGCGAACAACGTCATGGGCAACATGAAAGCCTGCCCCCGACAAGAACCCAAAATAACTTAAAGCATTTAACACTAAAGTTGCTGTCCACACATGAACTCACTTTGTTCGATCTGATAAAATGTGGTGGTGCCAGTGCCGGACTGGAGTGGACAAGGTCAGAAGTCACACAACACCAGGTTATAGTCCAACAGGTTTATTTGAAATCACAAGCTTTTGGAGCGTTGCCCCTTTCAGGTGAAGTGAAGAGAGCACCTGGGCACAGACTTTATAATCAAAGAGATCAAAAGTGCGTACAAATTGGTGAGAATGGAGTGGCAACAGGCTGAATAAAAAGCGGAGGCACAACCTATAATCTGATTAATTGAGGCAGAGAGATAATTGCAAAAAATTAAAAATAAAGGTGGTACTGAAGACAAACCAAATGATTAGAATAACGTTAGGTATATGAGTCACATGCCGAGGGTCTGTTTAAGGTTTGACGACTGTTTGAAGGCGACAAGTGGAGGTGTACCCTTCGTCATCCAAAGTGGAGAAACTATGCCATGTTCTTCACAGCCTTCGACATGTTATCAGTGATGACGATCATCTTGCCAAGATTATCCCTATGCCTCCGCTTCTCGCCTTCAAACAATCGCCAAACCTTAAACAGACCATCGTTCACAGCAAACAACCCTGTCTTCAGGGCAACATCGACCACAACACCACACAACTCTGCCACGGCAAGGCATGCCAGATTGACATGGATACGACCATCACACGTGGGAACACCACATATACAGCAGCTACTCATGTGACTCGGCCAACGTCGTCTACCTCAAACGCTGCAGGCAAGAATGCCCCAAGGCATAGTACATTGACGAGACCATGCAGACGCTACAACAATGGATGAATGGACACCGCGCAATAATTGCCAAACAGGAATGTTCCCTCCCAGTCAGGGAACAATTTAGTGGTTAAGGACATTCAGCTTCCAATCTTCAGGTAAGCGTCATCCAATGCAGCCTTCAGGGTACATAAAAATGCAGAATCGCAGAGCAGAAACTGATAGCTAAGTTTCGTATCCATGAAAACAGTCTCAACTGGGTTTATGTCACGCTGCATGTGATCCCACCATTCCGTTCTGTAAAATCTTCATTACCGTCCTGTTTTGACACCATCCTTGATAACATATGATCTTTCTACCCTAATTAGGCAGCATATCCTCAAAATACCTTTTAACTTAATTACGTAAAATGGTTAAAACAATGAGAAACGTGTTTTAATGCTAACATACGAGAAGTCATCACTTTGGACAAAAAAAAAATCAGATGTCACAAATCAGTATGTATTTCTTGGAATTTCATAGATTAGGATGCGAATTGATCAAAAGTTTTAAAGATACTGAGAGGATCTGACAGGCAGAAAGTAAACGCCACTGATTTGGGAATCCAAAATAAAAATCAGAGCTAAGCACTTGAAATGTGAAATTAGGAAACAACTCGACAAACAAAACAAAGAAGTTTGGAACGCTTTTCTACAAATAATTGATGACCTAGGACAATTGTTAAAATGAAATTGGAAATTTGCAGATTTTTGTGAACGAAAGTTATTCAGGTGAGTATGTGAAACTAAGTCACAGATGACCCATGATCTCAAAGAATAGTCGAACTGATTTGAGAGCTAAATGGTTTCCTTCTGTTCCTATGTATGACTCGGTCAGTGTCTCCTTTGGAGAAACACCAATCATGGTTTTGAGTCACATGAAGCAGCAGAATCCAAGGTAAAATTGTTTTGCATTAGTCAGCCTCCAATCAAATTTAACGACACCTTAAATTGCTGCTCTACATGCCACTAAACCAACAGATGAACAAAAAAAAATATACCAAGAGTAAATCATGGGCACTTCAGCATTGGTAATCAATGGAGTAAATCTAACATTTGTGCAGCAGTGTAGAATTTTACATTTGTACATTTTACATCTGGACTGTGACTGTCACCTAATTTACAATGTTCCAGAGGGTCAAAACCTACCTCAACATAGATGTGAGGATGAGGTCAGACTGACAAAGTATGACCATTCAGAGATAATTTCCATTAATTGGTATTTAAATGAGTGAACATAGGGATACAATGAGAAAGAAAAGTCAAGGAACTTGTTTATGCATGTAGCAGTTTTCTGAACTGCTAACTATACAAACTGCATTACTTTGCGCAATTCTGTTAATCTCTTTATCCTGACTGGGAGGAACTTCATATATTGTTTGTCCAAGCTTCCTTAACATCATTCCAGCAGAATTAAACCAAGATTCATCCATATGGTAACAGTTGTTCTGTCAACTGTATTTAGAAAAAAAGAGCATTTTAAATTTGACAACAGGCAGCATCATCCATGATGAGTGTACACTGATTTATAGTAACATCAAGAATTAGAGACACAGCTGGCATCGATGAAATGTAGAGCACCTTCCTCTGGTCTGGTGAAAAGAAGCTTTATCCATTCTTTGAATTGAATTGAATTGAATTGATTGAGTTAGCTTTATTGTCACATGTACTCACATGAGTACAGTGAAAAGTTCACAAGTCACCACTTACGGCACCATCTTAGGTACAAAGTTTATAGAAGTTCTTCAGGAAAAAAATAGAAAATAACAAAATGAAAAGTCCAGCATTGCAGATTTTAGGAATAAATTAGAAGATAGAAAAAAAAGTTCAGAACAACAGTCCTTCCAACCTCGCCCATGTTGGCACCTAGCCTCCAGTCCACATGCACCCATCAATTTTACTGATTTATCATTAACTCTTGGATGAACAGAAACATGGAGATACATGAGTTTGACATGCTGCTAATGACTAAATATACAAGATGCTTTATTTCAATTTCTTTAATATGACTAAACTTAACCAGGACTTCTGGAAGAATCTCCATTATGTTCCTGCTGAATGTCATTTAATACCTCAGTTCACAGGCTACGGTATTTGATCAGCATTTGGCTTTTTGCAGTTCATATTTTTGTTTTGTTGCTTGTCCAATTAAGGGAATGAATTTGTCATCAAACCCTCAGCTTCTCTAAAAGTGTAGCCGAGAGCACCAGTGAATGCACAGAGAGTCAATCTGCAGCTCATTAATACCAATGGGGTAATTTTGACTCTTAACAATTGTTTAGTCTGAGCACTGGCAAACCATCAACCCAAGTTCCATCTCTGCCGGTTCTCTTTTTCATTGACTTCATAGTTATCTTTCACCTTAAGCAACACCTGAAGATAAATGTTCAGGATTTTTTTTAAACATTCAGTCTGTGGGATATTGCTGTTCACAAATTGGTTGCTGTGTTTCCTACATCACCGCAATGACTGCCCTTTAAAGATATTTCAGCGCTCTAAAGCAGAATTTTACATTTGTACATTTTACATCTGGACTGTGACTGTCACCTAATTTACAATGTTGCAGAGGGTCAAAATCTACCTCAACATAGATGTGAGGATGAGGTCAGACCGATAAAGTAGAAGCAGAAGGATCTATTCATCTACTATCACTGTTACAACAAGGCTGAGATATCTCAAGACATTTCAGGTCTAACAATGAAATTACGTAAATGGGGAGAACCCATATATCATTAAGTTAAGAATTGTAGATTTCTGGAAACAGCTTCTCTCGCACGCTCCCTCTCCCCAACTGCCCCCACCCCATCAACTTCCCAAGTCTCTCATACCTTCTCCACTGCTGCATAACGAGCACTAAGTTGTTTGCGCAGGTCAGATATATGATGGTCAAACTTCTTCATATCCTTCTTGAAGTTCTCTCGAAATGACAACAGAGGTTTCTCCACTTCACTCTGCAGCTAAAAGATGCAAAGAATTGAACTCTCATCAAGTATGGGGAGAATAAACCATCGATTTCAATAATATTGGGGTGGGGCTCTTCAAACGTTTGCAGTCTAATGATAAAATGCCATTTGTCCTTTTTGGGACTCTGACACTGCACAAAGGATGTTCTTCAATAAATCTACTTTTTAACAAGGTAATAAAACAGCAGAAACTTTCAAATATAGATGTGATCTATTCTCCAAGGACTATAAAAAGGATATCCTGTAACTAAGGCAATGGAGAAATTGTGCTGTTGGAAGATTGCTGGCATAGTTGTGCAGTTATGTTTATCAAAACTGCTGCATCTTCACTGCTGGCTGAGTTGGCAACTGTATACGGAGCACAAAGCTGTAGACTAATTGCTGAACTTCTCCAAATTATTTGATCTCAGCCAGGCCATTGAGGACGCTTGCAGTTGGCTTCAGGCTGTTCAAGCTGGTGTGTGGGAGTATAAAGAGCAGTCAACATTCCCACTCCTGATTAATGTCCAGTAATTCCTCTTGGAAAGCTCCTACTTCCTCAGCTGTGATTCCTATCCCCCACTGTGGCCAAAGAGTCAAACACTCTCTTGCTTGGAGAGGGCAGGACATCAAATCACATGTAAAAATTTAATTTTGTGCCAGTATAAATCAGCAGGGGAAAAAAAAATGTGCATAACAGTAAGAGTGTGTTCAAAAGAGAGAGTGCTGTGTTCAAAAATGAGTGTTTGCCCATATTACTGTTACAGTATTCTGTATTATACTGGTCACTTTTCCATGAGCTGACCCCAGTTTCCAAATACATGCTGGCGAGCAAATATCCTACCCCACCCTAATCTACCCGTACCCAGAAAAGTGGGAAAAGCATTCAGTTAAGAAAAACCATTCACCACTGAGCTATGTCGCATTTTCATGGGCATATAGGATCAAGTATGGTATGACAGTATGGTTGAAGAACTTTACTTTGAGTTAATTCACAGAAGGAAACAGGAACATATTTATAAAACACACACACACACACACACACACACACAAACCCAGGTCTGTCAGCTGAAAACCTTCCAAATGTAAATAGCTCCAAATCTTTATCTGATCACGTTCCTAAGCACAATTACACAAACACAGTAATTATAGAAAAGTCTGCTGGCTATGCTTTTCCTGTGTTAACAGACTGTACTCCTGGCTTGCAGAACACTTCCCATGTTGACTAGCAATCCCAAGCCTACCAGTCATTTTTGTACAGCTGTATAGAAAGTACAGTAAGAAAACATTGCCCTGAACTGTCAATACTGTGGAAGAAAGAGAGGGGAAATCAAAGCTTCAGGAATGGTTTTCCCCACAGGCCCTCTTTAACAGGGCAACAGATTTAGTGCTACCTGTGCAACTGAGTTTTGTTTCTCTTCACCTTTTTTTGCTATAGTTATTGATCCATCAGTAAAACACAATTACCTTTGACGAAAATTTCAGATGAACCTCAGCCTCATCTGCCAAACTTTTCTTCACTTGTGTCCAAGACTCTCCCAAGGTGCTGCAAGGATGGAAAAATGAAAAATGCAAGGAATTTAGAAGTTGAAAATGGCCATATGCCTGACCTACAGAATATATCTTGGTATCAATTTCAATTACCCGCTTCACCATATCCTGCAAACTGTTCTTTAGTTTAAAACACATGGTGCAAGAGTTGCTGGAGTCACTATGGATAACATTATAAATGCACTGAACTCAAACGTGTTGAAAAATGCGGTACATAGCGGCCAAGGTATTTCATCATTCACATAACGTCTGCTCCAATAACTTCTTTGTTTCAAAGTCTGTCACCATTTGTACAAAACTTTTATGTAACTACCTTCTTCTAGATACAAATTCCGGTCAGCATGATGCTGATATAACATTCTAACATACATAAAACAAACATTTCTTTGCAATATTTCAGCATAATGCCTACATCAAAACTGCATTTTGTTTTAACTGACCACAGGAGAACAGTGTTAAACATGATTTCTATCTGTTAAACAAATATCTGAATCATTTAAGCCCTTCACCATAATGAGCAACTTCCTTCATTCCTTTTATAGAACCGAAAAGTTTAATTAGTACTTTCCCACAAAAGAAAGAAAGAGGCTCAGCATGCTTAATCTTTACCTAAAAGTTAAATCCAGGATGTTCACTTTAAGTTACTCAAGGGAAATCAAATTCTCCCTGAAATTAGGTGACCTGAGGTAGACCCATGTCAAACAGAATGTGCAGCTATGACCTCTTGGGAATTGTGCACAAACCCAACACTAATGCAAACCAGTAGTTTGTGCAAATAGCTCCAGTTGAGCACTCTGCTTCCACCTCTCAGGTTTAACATCAGTACAAAGTTCAAATCATTTTGCATTGACAATAAAATTAGAAGCCACAGCTGGGAGTCCCTGATTTGAAACAGTTAACCAAGCTTTGCTCATGTCAAACCAGGCCTAAAACTGCATACATTTTGTAACTCCATTTCCCTCTATTGAACTGCACATTCAAGCCCAACGATTGGATACACATTTGGATTTCCCCCTGTTGTCATATTTCCATGCCTCTTACCTTTTTGAAGCCCCCTCATAAATCCCATATATCCGTGGACAAGCATTTGGTCACCCATCCTAACTATTCCATTATATCAACATCCAAGTTTCCTGTGCCCATTGAAGCTCCTTGAGATGTCTTTCCACATTAGAAGAGCTTTATAAATGAAACTTTGGATTGTTTATGCAGATCCAGCATTAGACAAATAGTTAGCTCACAGGATATAAATGAGCAGGAGATGCTCATTGATGGAAGACTGCAGTGAAACATGAAACAAGTACCAAACATGCCTTCACCTCTCGAGTATTTACATCTGGCACCATGCAACCCAGACAATCGCATTTAATCTTCTTTCATGATATATCGCCTTGGCAGCAGAGTCATTCACACTGCTAACGTACAGATCAAAATCCATTTTGGAAGTTATAAATTCCTTCAGAAAGGAGCTGACCATTAAAGCAGGACAGAGATACTACTTCATATAAATCAGATTACATCAGTGTTAACTTGTCAATATCAAGCCTGTTTTGACATCAGCTATAGTTCATTTAATACATTCTTATATCTTCGCCGTGTAGCCATTATTTGGAGCGAATGGGAAAGCAGGACACAAGCCCTTTCCTGATAAGTGTGTCTTCTTAATAAGCACCCACAAAGGGGGAAAATCGCTGTGAGCCAGGAGTATGCAATCGGAAAAGGGTAGGTTTTTGGTCAGGCTATGTTCCCTGTGCGGCGTCTCAATCGGCAGTAGCCTGGATTGGAGAGCTAGACGTGGAGGTTGTCATGGTCAATTTGTAGTGTTCCCAATTTTACAATCATTAAAATGAATGACCAGAAATGGAGCGTATCTTGAACCAAACGCACTGATCCCTCCCACCCCCATCAGTGGAGGTTTTCTACTGGAACCAGTACTTACTCTAAGCTCTTTGTTCTTGTTCCCTTATGGAGTTCTGCAGCCTTGGTTCTTAAATTCAATGTATCATTTACTGCTTCAAATCATGTTCCCAGGGCATCAACATATTCCTTTCTCTTACAATCTTCAGGCTTTAGAAGCAAATATAGAATCATCCAAATACAGCTTGCCGCTCTTTCTTATCTCTCTTACTCACAGCGTTCTACACTATTAATATGTTATCATTTCACAGTAAACTGTGGCACAAAGCAAAGGGAAATTCCTGAATACAAGTTTGCTAATTTCAAGTTTTCTTTTAATTTTTGGCACTGGTGGGATGAGTTTTTCATTCTTCTCTGGCTGGTTTTAAAAGGTTCATAGCAAAATGAAACAAAAACAGAAATTGATGGAAAAGCTCAGCAGGTCTGGTAGCATCTGTGGAGAGAAATCAAAGTTAATGCTTTGGGTCCAGTGACCCTTCCTCAGAATTGATGGTAGCTAGGAAAAAGTTGGTTTTTAAATGCAGAAGTTAGGGTTGGGGAGAATCAGTCCCAAAATCAGGTCATAACTGTCGTAGATAAAACAATGGACTAACATTTGGTTGATATACAGAACGAACTTGGGGTCCAAGTCCATAGCTACTTGAAATTGGTAACACAAGTGAATAAGATGGTAAAGAAGGTGTACAGCATGCTTGCCTTAATGGGTTGGGGCATTAAGTATACAAGTTGGTGTGTCATTTTGCAGTGAAAAGGAGATGTGCGAGGAGAATTGTTTTTACACACAGAGGGTAGTAGGTGTCTGGAATGCAATACTAGGAGAGGTGGTAGAAGCAGATATGTTAGCAGTGTTTAAGAGGGATTTAGACAGATGTGAACAAGCAGGGAATAGTAGAATATGGACCATATGGAGGCAGAGGAGATTCGTTTAGAATGGCATCATGGTTGACACAGCCATGGTGGGCCAGAGGCCTGTTTCGGTATTCTACTGTTCTATTCTATGAAAACAGATCCTAAATTGGCAATCATTAAGGAAATAATGGTTGGTTTAGGAAATGGAAATAATCAGATTATTGGGGGTAAAAGATGAAATTTAGAGAACAGTGTGGAGGAACACAGCAGGGCAAACAGCATCCGAGGAGCAGGAAAATTGATGTTTCAGGTAGGGACCCTTCTTCAGATCCGAAATGTCAGTTTTCTTGCTCCTCTGATGCTGCCTGACCTGCTGTGTTCATCCAGCTCCACACTGTGTTATCTCAGACTCCAGCATCGGCAGTTCTTACTATCTCTGATGAAATTTAGAGTTTGGGTTTAGGCACATAATTGTGTCAGAGTAGAAACAAAATCAGGAAATATGACAAAATAACTCTCAGCTCTGAGTGGGTCTGCAATTTAATCCATGTTTTAACAAATCTGCAAGTGTTCGATATTAGATTTGTAAAGTTTGTGAAGAAATCATGGGGTCTGAGACAGTACCAGCAGCAAAATCATTTTAAAAGGTGAAGAGTTGACTTGGGATCCCTTTGAATACATTCTTCTCCTCGGTATTCACACTTTATGTAGGGGAGGGATGGCTGTACTGAAGCAGAGTTATTCCAAAAGCAACATACATCTTCAACAAAATCGATATGACTTCACAGCTTTTTTGGCAATTTGCCGACTTCACTTATCACCCGTACATAAGATCAAATAGCTCAAAAGGTCTAGCAAGAGATTTTCTCAATGATCAACAAAGAGGACATTGTACATCTATGCTGTTCGTGAACCACAAACTTAAAATAGAAAAATCGAAAAAGTCTAAATGTCAAGTCAGTGACCAATGCACAAATTGTCCAAATCCATCCATAATCTTAATGAAAGGCAACTGGACCTCATTAATTCCTGAATCTTGGCAATGGACTTCATGTGATCAAAGCTAGTGTTGATGCTATGGAATTTTTCCTTGATATGTTCATGTGTCATGGACTTGGGAAATGAATAAAAAATCATTGGAATGAATTATCCTTTGCCCTCTGCTGAGTTCTGGCATTCCCTCAGCAAATCACAGCTGCATTGCATGAAAATTAAAGCCATGAGCAAAAGACAGTCAGTCAGTTTTACGATCAGTCATTGCAGACTAGGGCCCCATGAGTGGTCCAGCCACTTCAAGTTCCACACGGTATCTCCAACTTGACACATCAGGGAATATGCCTGAAAACAAGATACTTAACGTCTCAGACATTGACACCTTTGACAAACACAAAGACATGCCATATGTGCTTAATCTTAACTTCAAAGCAACCCAATTGACAGAAAGTTCACCCCACCCTTCCCCCACAAGACAATCAATGCATCAAGAAATCAGAGAAGGCCTTGGGGATAAATTGACGATGCAAAAGAAAAATTAGTCTAATATGTCATCATTCCGAGGATTGTTTCTAGCTTCGTTGTCTTTTAGGTATTTGTGCCATTACCGTCTTGCTATTTATTTCTGCTTTTATGCAAATATCTTGCTATATATCAAACCTTACTATTGTTTATAATCTGAAAGTAAAAGTTCATTGATTTGTGACATCGTTATTAGTCCCACAAAATGTGGGAGATATCAGTCAGGTTTCACTATTTGTGCCTCCTCAGGCCAATCCTGAGTCAAAGGTCTTTGGGCAGTTTGGACAGGGTTATTTTGAGGAAGTTAGGGCTTCTCAAGTCAGTGTTCTGCTCCCTCCTTCCTCACTTCTCCACAGCACAGTAGTTAGCTCCTGACTGCAGTATGGGCAAAGCCTTCTCCAACAAGCCAATGCTATTCATGCTGGAATTTGTGAGCAAGTCCCAACCACACACTACTTTCAATATGTCCCCTTTTCAATGAAGCTGGCAGAGTGCATTTAAAACATTTCATGTCCTGCTCAAGATCAGGTACCATTCTCATGTTGCTTAAAAGGAGGGTGGCTTTGGGAGTGAATTATTTCGTTTACAGCACTTCTCTGAATAAAGAGGAAGACAACTTGGTCCTTGGTGCATTGTGCTGTAATGGAACAGCACCTGTTAGTTCCATAGCACACAAATGATGCACATTTGGCTTGTAAGGTGACCCAGTCTATTTACACAACCTTTTCTTTGGCTGTGAATGAGTTACAGCTGCTGGTAGGAAGTCCAAGTATTTATTTTATTGTTTTGAGGTGTCATTTACAAAAAAAAATTGCATGATTGAGAAATGAGTCTTAACTCAAGTGATAACGTCATTGACAAAATATTAAAGTCTAGACAGACAGAAGATCCAAAGCCGCTGTCGCCATGGAGCTTTGAGATGCCAACCACAGCAGCTGTTCAGGTGCCAAAACTGACAACAGTGCCTGGGCTGGAACAGGGCAGAGAGAACAGCCAGCATTCCAGCTTCTGAATGCTACCTAGTGTTTCCACTGGAAGTGCACAGACTTGAGAAGGACAGAGTTGTGTTTAACTGGAAAGCTCTTAGTGGGTGACTATCCCAGTACCATTTACCATCTGGATTCAAGGAACGGACACTCGGCTGACACACTGGAGGACTGCCAACAACAACGGACCCTTTTCCCAGAAAGGATCAGAGCATTCACGAGGACCACTTTGCAAAATGACAAGTCTAAAAGGATTTTGGTGAACACATCAATCTTCAGGCTGATGTATTAATGTTGTCATTTATCATGCACTAGGGTTAAAATGTATGTACTAGTGATTTTTAATTGGGAGCTGATTCATGTCTCTATCAGAGTTTCATCAGCTGAATAAAGTTCTATCAAAATGTTGATCCAGAAGAGCTTTTCAAATTACCAAAAGATGGTCTTTGGAGAACATTGCGGATCAACGAATGTACTTTAAAGTGTTTGTCAGGGATTCATTTTTCTTGCTTTAAAAATATATCCAGAAGTGCTGCTATGCACAATTGAACCTTTCTCCCCCCATCACCAAATTACCCGTGGCATAGTCAGGGATGAATCATTCTTTATTTTAATTTGCAACAGATGGAAAGGCAAGGTGCAAGACAGATACAAACAGTTTACAGAGAGAGATTGACAGGTTAAGTGAATGGGCAAAAAGTTGGCAAATGAAGCATAGTGTGGCAAAACGTGGAGTTGTTCATTTTGGAAGGAAGGGAGAACAAAAGAATAGTTATTTAAAATGGAGAAAAACTGTAGAAAGCTGCAACACAGAGACACTTCGGAGTACATGTACATGAAACAGAAAGCTAGCACACGTGCAGCAGGTAATCAGGAAGGCTAATAGAATATTGGGTCTTGGGGGCAGAGTCCACGTGTATATTTAAGGCTGAAAGAGATTCTCAATGAGTAGGGAATCAAGGGTTACAGGGAAAATGCAGGAATGTGGACATGAGGAATGTTGGATCCCATTAAATGGCAGAGTAGGCTCAAGGAACTGAATGACCTATTCCGGTTTGTATCTTTTTATATAAAACAAACAAAAAGTCTTACAGCCAGAAGCTAAAGCCCTGGTCAAAGTGTAAAGACAAGGATTGTCAATTTAAAGAGAAAATATATCTGCTAAGACTCCAGCAGGCCATTCAGCAAACAGCACCCCCTTCAAAGAGCATCCCCCCTACCCTATCTCTGTAAGCCTGCTTTTCCCAAAGCTAATCCACCTTGTCTGCACATCCCTGGGCACTATGAGCTATTTGGCATGGCCATTCCACCTAACCTGCACATCTTTACACTATGGTTGGAAACTGGAGCACCTGGAGGAAACCCATACAGCCGTGGGGAGAATGTGCAAACTGCACATCGGCACCCGAAACTGGAATTGAATCCGGGTCCCTGGCACTATGAGGCAGCCATGCTAACCATTGAGCCTCCATGTCACCCTGTCTATTTAGGCTTCTTCTGTTCTGCAGTGGTTTTGTTTGCCTTCTCCTTTCTGTCTATAAAGTTAAATGGAGCTGTTTGAATTGTTCCACAGATAATGCTCTTTATACAGTCCAAATTAAAAAAAAGGAAACATGAGCACAAAAGCAAGAAACAAACCAACTCTTAATTCTGGATTTGTTCAGATCAAAAATAATATAAAAGAGCTTTATTTCCTTTCACAGTGCATATGATGAAATTTTCTCTATTTTAGTTCAGTAAATGTGTTGATGCCTTTTGCACCTCACTATGCAGATACACAAATATTTCCTGCACGTTTTGTTGCTTGCAGAGACCACCCATCTGGTTGATCTATGCCAACTCCCAATTCTATAGCGGCACGTTTTGCTCGATATCTCTACTTACACACAATTAAAATCAAATCATATGACTGCAGTTTCAAAGAGCAACATTTTCAATTCAAAGCTACAACAGTACTCCGGAATGCAAAATTTCAATAAAATGATAAACTCACCCTTCCTCTAGACCTGCCAGTGGACTCTGGGAGAGCTTTGCTAGGTTTTTGGCATAGTCCTCTTCAATTTTAATCCTTTAAAAAAATTACATGCCCATATTCAAAGTTGATTCAAATAGCCACTCCTTTCAACAAGAAAAGGCAATTTCCTACTTTTGTACTCTTAGAGAAAAACATTGTATTGTAAGCAAATATCAGAATGGTGCATAAACTCAAAACATAATTTGTAAATACAGCTTTATCCCAATCATTTATAGTGAAATGATTTAGAGTACCAATGCTTGATTTTCCTTATGACAGAAGGAGCAGAGAACTGGTATTAATTAGCTAGCTCAGCGCAGGCACAAGAGGCCAAACCACCTCCTCTATCAATACTGTAATATTCTAGCATTCTAAAAAGGTCAACTAATTGACTGTGAATCCCATCCAATATCGCAATACCTACTCCAGGTCTAACAGGAAGGCATCCAGCCTGTGACTTTGATTTTAAAATCATCTTCTATAAAAAAAATTTCATTAAAATGCAAATGTGGTGACGTTCAACAACAGAAGTCAGCAGTGTGAAACATTGTAACCATTGAGTGCCAATGTACGTGCATATGAGAGATATACGTCAACATTTCTTTCTTCAATATTCTTGTGTCACAATGCAAAAGATTTCCAAGAAACTAAATGGGGGGAAAAAATGTTAGGTTTACTTTGAGTTTCAGATATGTATTCACACAAGTTGACAAACACGAAAATGATTAGAGACAAGAAAACTTTCTCCTTAAACTACCAAATGGTTTTCCTCTACCCCACCAGATTACACAGATCCTCTGGATCCCGAAAGAGGATGGGAGTCAGCAAACAGAGCTGAGTTGCGATCCATCATACACAGTGATATTTAATAACTATTTTGTTCTAGTCAAACAGGACAATCCACAGTGATGTGCAAGACCACAAGATGAGCAGAAGTAGGCCATTCAGCCCATCAAGTTTGCTTTGCCATTCCATTAGATCATTATTGGACAGGTGACACCTTCACTTTCCTCCCTTTTCACCGTAACCCTCAGTTTCCAAACTGATTGAATTTCATTTATCTCAGCATTGAATATACTTACTGACCCAGCCTCTACAGCACTTGGTGCTGAAGAATTACACAGATTTACTCCCCTCTAAGAAGAAATCCCTCCTTATCCCTGTCTTAAATGTGCGACCATTAATTTTGAGATTATGCCGTCTGGTCCCAGACTCTACCACAAGGGGAAAACAACCTTTATGCATCCCTTAAGAATCTTGTACATTTCAATAAGGTCATTTCCCATTCTTCTAAACTCCATCGAGTACAGGCCCAATCTATTTAACCTCTTCTCAGAAGAGGATCCCTCCATATCTGGTATCAGCCAAGTGAACTTTCTCTGGACTACACCCAATGCCAGTACGTCTTTCTTTACGAGAGAGTTCCAGCAGTGGCCAGACTAGTGCCTTGCACAGTTTTAGCAAAACCTCCCTACTTTTATAATCCAGTGCCTTCGAGATAAAGGCTAACATTCCATTTGCCTTCCCTATTACTCACTGAACCTGGATGATAGATTGTGAATCATGTTTGTCAATTATTTCACATCAATATACAAAGTGAGTTTATAGCATTCAAAATTTGTGAACATAGTGACAACGGTGGCTATGGTGATGCACTATGAATTAAATTAGCTTAATGATTTGTATCTGGCCTACATGACCTGAGAGTTTGCCGTAGGAAACATTGAAGAAGCACGCCTGAAGGCATTTAGATCAATGAAAGAATATTACTGTTGTACTCCTGCCTTATGCCATCCTATCAGGAGACATTTGGCAATGTGTACACATCTCTGAACGTGAAGCTTTCAGACTACTTAGTGTCTCAGTGGTGCTAGTTTCTATGGCAACCCAAGTTTGTAAATACAAAACACATTCATGAAATTACTGTGGACGATTGTTCCTAGTAATCTGATTGGATGTAAATTGTGTAACAAAATGACCCAATATTCTAATCACTTGTTAAATCTGCTACAAGTTCCACACTGGACTTTCGGGCAGACATACAAGTGGAACAGAATAGGCATTCCTTAGTATAAGATTTTGTGCATTTATAATGGCATCAAGCTAGCTCTGCCTTTACTTAAACACTTTTGTTTTGGGTCATTGATTGTTGGGAGTGCAGGAGAGGATGACTGCTGAGACATTTAATTTTACTGGACTAGCAGAAAGTACCTGAACTGCAAAATAAGTACACGGACAGAAAGCAGATAATGCGGATAGAAAAGAAACAGCAACTATCAGAACAGGAAATAACTGTGGGGAGTCCAATGGTTGAAAGATCATAAAATCAAAACCAACTCAAATAAATGCTGATTAATCCAAAAATGCACAACGTTCTAAACAGCTGTGAATTTCTACAAATACGCTGGTAGAGTCGAGATGTGCAGAATTTCTCTCTTAATGAAGCATAGAAAGTGTCCATGACTACTAACGCTTCACAGTCAATTTTAACTGTTCATTCTAGAAGGGAGACCAATAGAAATGGATCAGCTGGCTGTATTACACTTTATCCCACAGTGACATGTAAATTGGGCGGGGAACGTTAAAAACTGAGCTTACTTCCCAATAGACCTATGGATCCCTGGCCTTCCATTCTCATCCAGCCAGGGATAGGGGATTGCTGGAGTCAGACATAAACACAGAAAGAAAGAAAATGAATGGATATGGGGATTACGGACCTCAGCATATGTCACTGAATTAATTCAGACAATATACTTGGGCACTGGACTGATTGTCAAATTGAGACCTCCTTGTAAAATCTTGTCGAGGAAATTGCATACTGTTGCAACTTGCACTTCCAGCAGCTGAAGTTAGGAAAGTGCATTCAAAGGGTCTACACTAATTCAGTGGGTAGCACTCACAACTCAAGTTAGTAAGTCTGGGGCTCAACTTGAGCACAAAATCTGTAGCACTGCCATAAGACTGGACATGCCCTTTTTATGGCACCAGCTGCCATAAGCCTAGTTTAAGTGTAGGAGGAGAACTGAAATGAATGGGTGAGTGGACGACTGAGTGACTGGGTAGCAGGATGGTTTGGCACGTGGGTCTGAGGGTAATCAGGTTGGGAGGATTAGACAGACAGTGGTGGTGGTCAGGTCTGCTCAGGAGTTAATATGGTTGGGAGTGGTGGTCAGGTTGTGGGTGAGGCCAGTCCTAGGGGTCAGGGTTCAATGAGTGATTTGCAGCTTCTGTAGTTACCCAGGAGTTAAACTAGATTTTAACCTGTCTACCATTTCCCCGAGTCCCCCGTTTTTAAGATTCACTCATGGGACATGGGTATCACTGGCTGGCCAGCATTTATTGCTCATTTCTAATTCAGGTTAAGCATATCGGAACTTTCCGATTCTTTCACTCTCAAAAGGGTACTGGAGAGCTTGGGAATTCCTCGTCGCAAGTGTAAACTTCCCAGGCAATTCCAACAGAAGTCAGCTTCATGATTTCTGCAGAATCTTGAAGCTCATCTTGGGTTGTGTTTGTTCTCCGATGATCCAGAGACCAGAAGATGTGGCCCATTAAATCTAGAGACTGCCTTCCCCTCTCAGATAAATCCATGGCAACTACATTGAGGAACACTGGTCCTTGATTACGTTCCTCTCCCAACAGTGTAACAAATAAAGAGATTGTTGACTGTTATCGCATTGCCATGTATGGGGCCTGTGTCCAAATTAGCTGCCATGATTGTAGGTTGCAGCTCTGATTAATAAAAGGATTTTTGGGATGTCCATGTGTAAAAGGCCCTTAGCAATTGTGAGTCTCTCTTTACTTGCTTTTAAATAGAGGAAACTGGGTTTTGTATACAAGTCAGTAGCTCCACTTTTTTTGTATTACTCATTGCATTAATCTCAGAAAAAAATACTCATTCAAACCATACAACAGGCTGTCTGGATATCTATCGAAGTTTGTAAAGTGCCTAAGTAGACATCTCTTATGAGCATTCCCCATCATACAATAGTAGCAATAATGCTGGAAATTTAACAGCAGCAACAGAAACAAAAACAAGGTAATTAAGTTGACCAAGTTTAATATTCATCAATGTTCAGTATCAGACAGCTTTTTGCCAATTCCCTGTGCAATGGATCAAAGAAGCAGCATCATAATTTATCTCTGTTACTACAAGTGGGCCACATCCCCAAGGAAACACATTAGTATTCAAAAATACAGTTAAAAAGTGAAATACAAGTAAAACATTTCAACGATGAGTTGGTGCAATTACCTTTCCCGAATAAATTCGGCCATTTCTTTCTGCATTTGTTTGCCCTTGAGCTGTTTCACAAGGATAATATCAAATCCAGCAATTGTGCTATTGCTCTGGGAGTCCTTTTTGTCTGCCTGTTGAGAAAGAAGGAAAAAAAAAATGTTTTAGAGAATAATGCTGTGAAAAATATATTTTGATTTTCATTCACTTCAGTAAGGGAGTGTGCGGAAAGTGTGAGCCTGAATGCTGACATGCTCCAAAGTTTCCAACCACGATTAGTAGTGTTTTATGCGATGCTTCTGTTGACGGTCCAAGTTTCACATCCTATTCTGCTCTGTTCCTTCTGCCTCACTGGGATCTTTGTTCATGCATTTACACTCAGACACAAAGTGGTTACAACCAAGCAGGGAGCAACAAATGGCACTCCTACAAACAGTATTAAGGAATAAAGGGTAAATTTACAAATGCACACTGGCAACAAATTGGAAATTTGGCTGTTCAATATTTAGGATTCACTAACTAGTGAAATTAAAAGCTGTCAGCACAGATTCATTACTCAGAAAGGAGTAGGAATAAATGAGTCAGTGTCATGTTGGCAGGCTATGACTCATGGGATTCCACAAAGTTAAGTGTTTGGGCCCAAGCTGTTCACAATATACCTAGGTAGTGGGGACCAAGTATCAACATATCCAAATTTCTAAATGGTACAGAGTTAAGTGGAAACGTATATTGTGAGGAAAACATAGTATCTTCAGGAGAATTTGGACAGGCTGGATGAATGAGCAAGAACATCACAGATAGAATAGAATGTGGGAAAATGGTAGGAAGAACAGATGTGCAATGCATCTCTTAAACAGTAAGAGGTTGGAAAGCATAGATGTGCAAAAGGACTTTGGCAGCCTGTTGATAAGTCAGTGAAAGCTAACATGTAGGTGGACTAAGCTATTAAGAAAGCTAATTGACTGCTAGGCTTTTATTGCAAGACAATTTGAATAGAAGGATAGTGAAGTCTTGTTTCAGTTGTATATAGAGGCTTGGAGAGATGGCCCCTGGAGTACTGTGTGCAGTTTGGGTTTCCTTGGCTCAGGGTAAGATTTTATTGCCATAGAGTGTGCAAACTTGTTCCCAGAATGGCAGGGCTGTTATTTGGACAGGGATTGGACAAATGGAGTCTGGATTCTCTAGAGTTTTGAAGAATGAGAAATGATCACATTGAAACTTACAACATGCTTAAAAAGGGCAGATACAGCTAAGTTGTTTCCACTTGTTGGAAGTCTAGAACTAGGAGCAAAATTTAAAAATAAGGGAAATGCCAGTTAGGTGTAAGATGAAGAGTTTAAAATGCAGAGGGTTGTGGATCTTCTCAGAATTCTTTACCACAGAGCGCATTGAACGCTCAGTTTGTTGAATGCACTTAAGGTGGAGTTTGAGATATTTCTGTTTAACAATGGAATGCAGGGTTATGGGGGTGAGGTGGCTAAAAGTCAATGAAGTGTTCAAGCTGCCATGTTGGAAGAGACTCGATATGCTGAATGGCCGATTTCTGTCCCTGTTAATATTACCCGTGGCTCAGCGAGTGCACACTCACCATGAGTCAGAAGCCTATCAGTTCAAATCCCATTCCAGGCCACAGCTTCGACACACACACAGTGCTCCGAAAGCTCGTGATTTCAAATAAACCTGTTGGACTGTAACTTGGTGTCGTGTGACTTCCAACTTTGTCCATCCTAGTCCAACACTGGCATCTCTACATCACACAATATCTAGGTTACCCAAGTGCAGAACTGAGGGAGCATCATATTGTCTACCTGAGATTGTGTGTTTTGGGTTAGATATTAAACCAAAGCCCTGTTTGCCCAAAGGGAAAAGATCCTACAGCACTACACAAATAGCAGCTTCTGTTAGTCCACAGACAATACTTATCCCTCAAATCAACATCACCAAAAACAGTTAAACTGGTCGTCATCGCATTGCTACTTGTGGTCCTACAGTGAATCATTCACTTTGCGACATCCTGAGGTCGTGAAAGGCACTAGGTAAATGCGTGGCTTTCCTTCTTTCAATGAGCACCTTCTCATACACTTCATTGCAATCAACTCAAGATCAGGGAAGTGACAGGGCTGGGATTAAGTCTGCCCATTTGCTGAGTCAAGGACACATGGGAGGAGGGGTAACCTAAAGAGAGATAAGAGACAACAACTTGAAGAGAAATAAATGAATGAAAAGACAGCAAGAATGAGAGAAATTAAACAAAAAAAGTGAAGTAAGCAAGTAAGAAAGAAAAAAAGTGAAATATTTACTTAAATTTTAACTTTTAAAGACACTTCCTGGTTTTGATAACAATGTGAAGAATCAACGCATTTGCCTAGGTAACTTCTGTCCTTTTGTTGCTAGGTTTTTCATTAGGTCAGTACTGTTTCAATTGTTCAAAATAAACTCAAATAGCATTCAATCTGGAAACTCTAACTATCCACAATTTCTTGGCTATTGCACTTAAATCCATGTTTCAGTGTTGTAACAAAATGCCAGTGCTGAGATGGTAACATACACCGAACCAACAATCTCTGACTTACAGGTGGTTACAATGCAATGAACGTCTGGCGATCTCTGCTAGCCAGGATTCTAACCACAGCCACAATGGGAAAACATTCCTTACCCAGAAATAGTCACAGTAGCTCCAATCATCTCGTTTGAGCAGCTGCTGTTCAGGCATTGTGTCTGGATGTGGGAATGTGACGCAATTTATCTGTTTGAGGAAACAAAAATACTTTTAAATCATGACAAACTGATGATAAAAATGCAGGTTCCTGCACTGTTTGCATTTTAGGCACAATTTCCTTTGGCGAAAACAATAGTATTATTTTCTCAGTCATATGACAACAGTAATTTTCAGCTTCTCTATTCCTATTTACTCAATAATTTATTCCTATAGCATACATTCTCAGCCTTGTCTCTCCTGAAAGCTGTGCTGAAGGATGGTTCACTAAGACCGTTTATGAACTGCAGCCAAACAGTCAATCTTCATATTCCATGCCAAAATAAAGAGTGGTTACAGTCTATTCAACCACAAAGAGCAAGGTAGAAACTGGGTATACAGCGGTAAGTGGTTCATCTTCCATCTCCGCAAAGCCTTTCCGCCACCTACAAAGTCTCAAGTCAGAGCAGGAGGAAATATTCCCCACTTTCCTGCACAGGTGCAACTGAAACAAGATGCATGAAGAGACATTCAAGTAAAGTAATCATTGAGATTTACAGCACAGTAAAAGGCTCTTTGGCCCATCTTATCCATGCTGGTCAGAAACAACCTAACTGTTCTAATGATGCATAGCCTTGTATGCCTTAACATCACAAGTGCACATCTAAATACAGCAAAATTTATTTTAACTGGCACACTCAATAAACCAGCAAAAATTTCCTGTATTATCACAATCTCCACTATACCTGGTGTGGTCAGTTGAGGATGCAAGTGAGAAGGCTCTCTACTGGTAAGTTTTATTTAAGGCAAACTTAAATTATTTAAGTGATTTATGCTGTTGTAAGGGATTCTGAAGAGAGAGGACTTGCATGCATTTGGAGAGGCTTGGAATGATTAGGGATAGTCAGCATGGCTTTGTGCGTGGGAGATCATGTCTCACAAACTTGATTGAGATTTTTGAAGACATCGCCAAAAAGACTGAAGAGGGCAGAGCACTAGATGCTATCTACATGGACTTTAGTAAAGCCTTTGACAAGGTTCTGCATGGATTGACCGTTTAATCAAGTTAGATCACATACGATTCAGAGAGCTTGCCTTCAGAGGGAGAGGGTGAAGGGAGAGAGAGAGGGGGCAGAAGGAGATGGGACAAAGGGTAGGAGACAGAGGGTGATGGTGGAGGGCTGTTTTCTTGGTTGGAGGCCTGCGACCAGTGGTGGTCCACAGGGATCGGTGCTGGGTCCACTTTTGTTTGTCATTTATATAAACAATTTGGATGAGAATTTAAGACACATGGTTAGTAAGTTTGCAGATGACACACCAAAATTGGTGGTATAGATAACCACCTTCGCTGTCAACTAAGATTACAAAGGGCTCTTGGTCAATTGGGCCAACGGGCTGAGGAGTGGCAGTTGAAGTTTAATTTGGATAAATGCAAGGTATTGCATTTTGACAAAACAAACAAGGGCAGCAATTATATAGTTAATGGGCAGTGTTGCCGAACAGAGAGATCTAGGGATTCAGGTACATAGTTCTTTGAAAGTTGCAACACAGGTAGAGAAGGTGGTAAGAAGGCATTTAACACACTTGCCTTCTTTGGTCAGACCATTAAGTACAGGAGTTGGGATGTCATGTTGAGGTTGCACAGGACATTGAGATTGAGATTGAGATTGAGATTGAGGGGGTGATCTTATAGAGATTTGTAAAATCCTGAGGGGCATAGATAAGGTGAATAGCAAAAGTCTTTTCCCTAGGGTGGAAGAGTTCAAAACTAGATGGCACATTATTAAAATCTCTTGCCTTTAACAAAAAGATTTAAGGGACCAGAGGGGGAACTTTTCCATTTGGAGAGTGGTTTGCATGTGGACTGCACTGCCAGACTAAAAGGTAGATGCAGGTACAATCCCAACATTTAAAAGACATTTGGACAGATACAGGAAAAGATAAGGTTTAGAGGGATGTGGGCCAAATGCAGGCAAGTGGAATTAGTTTGTGAAACTTGGTCAGCATGGGATGAGTTGGACCGAAGGGTCTGTCTCCATGTATGACTCTGAGTACACCCCTGCATTACGGTTCTATTACTTAGTGTGTTTTTACATTGATTATGTGGACTTTGATCAACTGGCACGCTTCTGGTCCCATAGATGTCAGTTAATAAAAAGTTTGCTGTAATTCTTAAATGTTGAGGGTTTCTACTTCTACCACTCTTACAGGCAGTGAATTTCAGATTTCCACCACTCTCCGAGTGCAAGTGTTTCTGCCTCTGACCTTTGCTATCAGTCTCCCAAGCAGGACCTTATCTGTTTGTTTCCACGTGACTCAATACTCCCTCTGTTGCCATTGCCCCTAACCAGTCCTTAACCATCTGCCACACTCAAACGGTCCCTCCTAATGTGGCTGCATTGTATGATATCTATATGCAAGGCAGCAACAACTCACCAAAGGTGACACTGTTTTAGAATATTTTTAGGACAGATGAGAATTTTTGTTTTCCCTGAAGCTTACGCAACTTTGGAACTCTCTGCCTCAAAGCAGTGGAGCCAGCATACTGAATATTTTTAAGGCGGAGGTAGATTTCTGTTGCACAAGGGAATCAAAGGTTAGTGGGAATCAAAGGTTAGTGGGAATAAATTAAATGTGGAATTTGAAACACAGGAGACCAGCCACGATCTTATTGAATGGCAGAGCAAACTCACAGATCCGAATTCTCCTAACTCTTACGTCCCCACCCTTGATGTTTTTTTCATTGAGGTGGATAAGGGCAACAGTGTTATAGGAGCGCCATCACGCACAAGATTTCCAACCAAGTTACACCCAATCCTAACTTGGACATGCGCCCCTTTTCTGCATGATGAATGAGTGACAGTCTCAAAATTCCCTAGCAATCCAATCATGGCAAACCCAGTACCACAGGGTAGTTTGAGAAGGTCCTCTATCATCTCAAAACACAGGCATTGGCTGTTGAATAGAGCCTTGGTAGCAGTGCCCACATCCCAAGTATCAATAAAAATGAAAACAAAAGCCAATCACCATGAAACTGGGCTGTTCTCCTCTGCCATCAATGCATATTTACCTCCCCCTTTCTATACTTAGGGCAGTCCTGCTGAGATTGACCAATTAATCAAAGATTAGTAAATGAGATCACAGCAGATCAACTACCTGCATGATACATTACAGTTCCCTGCAGATATTACTTTCCTCCTACTGTTTCAGCTACCTTGTGTTAATAAATTGTTCATAAAATATTAAGAACCAAGTGAGTTTAAAAGTACAACATTGGTGTTGCTGTAAAACATGATGAACAGATATATTCACCACTGGAGATGTACTTCCATTTACAAAAGGAGTCATTGTCATATATTCCACTAAGCACCAAATCTCCCATCATTTCAAAATAGTACACCTCAGAAGTAATACGAATTGTGAAATGTTTCATTATTATGTTGCACAATATATCCCAAGATCAACATGATGAATAGTTATTGAATGCAGCTTTTGAAAACATTAAGGTGAGAAAACTGGCCAGGACACTTAGAGCCCACTGAAGTTCCAAGGACACCATGCAATTTTTAATGGCTGCCTGAGTAAAAGGAGAAGGCTTCAGTTAATATCTTGGTGAAAAGTCTTGGATACCCATTTCAGAACTGCAGGTGACAATGCAGCTGTGACACAATCTGAACCAGGAGGCCCAAAGTTGTCCTGAATTTTGGCTTTGAGCCTTATTAGTATAAACTGATCTCTCTACCGTGTGCATTGATCATTATGCAATTTTTTTCTGGCCTGCTGCCTGGTCTACTTATGTTTCAAAAATGTGAAGTAAAAGGTTTATTTGACACAAGATGGCGTATTTACACTTTCTCCTCCCCCAAAGGGAGACTATTCAGTTCATAAAGGTAGTGACACAGGGCTGAAATATCTGAAAAAAATGTTAATAACCCAGAACGTACGGTTCTGAGGAAGGGCCACCAGACCTGAAACGTTAACTCTGAATTTTTCTTCACAGATGCTGCTCAGCCTTTCCATCAACTTCTGTTTTTGTACAGTTCAGGTGCTGTTCTACTGGTTGTGTAGCAGAGAAGAACTACTGCCTGTCAATCATCATACCGTAAAAAGTGGGTCATTGAGTGTTCAAAATGAGGACTTGGTTTTGATGCAACAATTCTGCTCAGGGGCATTTAACGTCAAGGAGTCTAAAGCAGTCCTTAAACGATACCACTGGTAAATATTCAATTGTTCACAGGAAGGTTATTGAAGAATTGTTGTGGTCTAAGGAGGACCATTACTGCTCCTTGACCACACAGAAGTCAACTCCATTCTAATTCCTGGTATTCAACAATTGGTTGACTTTCCCAAGCAATTACTTCATTGCCCTCGGCCTTACTTCACCTCCAAGAAAGCTCCACCAGATTTATCACCCTGTGCAATCAGACCTATATCTCCCTACGTACACCCTTATTCTCACTCGTGTTGACAGCATGCTGGTTAATTTCAAAGAGATACAATCAAGTGACATAGCTATCATCGGAAGTCAGAAATACCTAACACATCTGGTTTGTGCAACCTGAAACCACCACAATTATTCACCGATACCTGCATATTCTGTTCCATTGCACCAACTAGCGATTCACTTGCGAACCTGTAAACAAATATAGTCTGAAAGTGTGGATGTTGTGTTACGAGGCATTAACTTGTAACATGCAATCCTGTCAAGTGTTTATTCTAAAGTGTGTAAAGATTGTCCACCACACTTATTCAGGAAACTATATATGGATATTGCATAATACACATATGAAAATTGCTAAGCTGCTACCAAGCAGAGTCAAGTTCACAGGAAGTACAAGGCAGACAACTAGGGTTCCAAAGTTGCAACTTCATCTTTGGTTACAATGCCAAGACATACAAGCCCACAGGCCAAGTGTGGAAAATAGGATTAGAATAGTTGCATGCTTGTTTTTGATCAGTGCAGTCTTGAAGGACTTTTTTGTGTGCTGTAGACCTTTGACTCATGTTCATGTTGAATGTAAATTATTTCCTGGGGACCTGTAATTTACCCT